CTACATTTCCCACCAAAATCCTTTACATATTGTTGTGCTCATTAATTTGGTTCCATCAGCAACTGAAACTGGTAATGGATCTGTCTCTAAGGCCATTATCCCAACTCTCTTGATTACTTCTGGACTTAAGAAATTATAAGTACTTCCCGAGTCTATTAGGATCATGACTAGCCTTTTCTTGACATTGCCTTTTACCCTCATAGTTCTATAGGAAATAGAGCCAGTCAGGGCATTAATAGAAATCTGTAATTCCTCTTCTGGAATCTGGTCTTCGTCCACATCTTCACCCTCGTCTTCCACCTGTTCCTGATCTTCTTGTTCAACCTCCAGGGCATATAATTGCTTCTTTTTATAGATATGGCCCCTTGTATACTTCTCATTGCATTTAAAACATAATCCTTTAGCTTTTTTTTCTTCCAAGTCCTTTGGTAGTTCTTTCTTCACAGGACTCATAAATGGATTTTGTTTGGCCTGATGGGAAAAAGTAAATTCTCCCACTCTATTCCCTTTGTCTTGCTCTTCTTGTTATGGCTTCAATGCTATTCTCCTACATTTTAGCCAATCCAATGGCCTGAACTATAGTAGTAGGCCTAAACATTAACACCCCTTCCTTAATGTCTTCTCCCACTGATGAAACAACTAATGAAAAAAGCTTCTGGTAAATCACTGGTTTTATTTGCTAGAATCTCAAATTGTTCCTGATATTCCTTCACAGTGGTTGTTTGCCTTAATTTGGTCAGCTCACCCATTGCATCTTCATAAGAATTGGGCCCAAATCTAGAAATAATTCCTTGTTTGAACAGATCCCTATTAATTTGGCGATGGCATTTCTCAAACCATTGGTACCATTGAAGGGCCTTATCCTCTAAATGCAAAGTGGCTAGTTTCCCCTTATTTTCACTTTCAACCAAGTTATAATCGAAGAATCTCTCACATTTATATAACCATCCAGTGGAATCTTCCCCAAAACATCTTGGAAAATCAATTCTTGCATATCTGGTATTGAAGAAAGTAGATAATTGAGATGAATCCAAACGAACCTGAGAAGCTTCCATGGTTTCTGGATGATTTCCAAAACTCCATTTGCCATTCGATCATACTTGGCATTCATGGCAAAAATCAATTCATTGATTTCATTCACATCTTTCAATGAATTTCTCTCTAATATCATGTGCTTGCCTATCACTGTTGTCTTTAAGAGTTCGCATTGCTTCATCGATTTTTTTTTTATTCTTGTGCCCTAGTCCCATCTGCCATTTCTGTGGAATCTCTCTTGCAAGCCAAGAATAGCCTTGCTCTGATACCAATTGATGACTATGAAAGAAGAAAGCAGTAATTGAAAAAAAAGAAGAGAGAAAATGGAAAACTAAATTTGGAGTCCATTCACCATTTTCTCATAAAACTTGATTACAGTCCCAAAAAGTCCCCCCTTTTTTCCCCTCAACCATAGCTATATATAGCTAAAATAACCCTATCCAATACTAACTAACTAACAAACCTCCTAACCAACTAACTAACCCCCCAACAATCAAACAATCTCTCAAACTAATTCTCCATCTCAAACTGAATTCCTGAATTTCAGCTGCCAACTGAGCTAACTGAATCCAAAACTTCCTAAATCATAACATTCAAGTGGATTTATTTTTTTTTTAATTTAAACTTTTTTATTTTTTTATTTTTGGCAGGTAGTTATTACTGCACTAGGTGCAACCTTAATAGACAAAGCTGGAAGAAAACTCCTGATACTGGTAAACCTAGTATAATGTACCCATTACCTTCAAATATGCTATTGCCATTCCTCCTTGAGTAAGATCAGATTGTTTTCATTCTAGGTTTCTGCATCAGGATTGGTCCTAGGTAGTGTACCTACGGCTATTGCATTCTATTTTTTATCCCTTTTTAAGATACCGGTCCGTTTTGCAAGGAAAATTGAGAAATTATTGAGAGATTTTCTTTGGGAGGGGTTTGATGAGGGTAAGAGGGATCATTTAGTCAGATAGGAGGTTGTCTCTCTTCCTTGCCATAAAGGGAGTCTTGCTATTGGGAACATTGTTGCTAGAAACATTGCCCTCTTGAGTAAATGGTTGTGGAGATTTCCTGAGGAAAGCGAGTCATTATGGTGTTCTATTATTAAAAGTAAGTATGGAATTCAATTCCACTTTTATATCCCGTTTTGCAAGGAAAATTGAGAAATTATTGAGAGATTTTCTTTGGGAGGGGTTTGATGAGGGTAAGAGGGATCATTTAGTCAGATAGGAGGTTGTCTCTCTTCCTTGCCATAAAGGGAGTCTTGCTATTGGGAACATTGTTGCTAGAAACATTGCCCTCTTGAGCAAATGGTTGTGGAGATTTCCTGAGGAAAGCGAGTCATTATGGTGTTCTATTATTAAAAGTAAGTATGGAATTCAGGCTAATTGTAGAGATTTTATTGTAGTTAGTAGAGGCAGCTGTCGCTCTCCTTGGAAGTCTATCTCTTATTTGTTTCCAATTGTGTCTCAATTTTTCTCTATGAAAGTGGGTGATGGGGCCAATATACGATTTTGGGAGGATGTTTGGGTGGGGAATACATCTTTTGACAAAGCTTTTCCACTTTTATATCGATTGGTTCATGCTCGAAATATTTCAATTGTGTCGGTGGCATGTTCTCATGTGGCACCAATATCTTGAAATTTCAATTTCCTCAGGAATCTAAGTGATAGGGAGTCTCTTGAGTTGACATCTTTGTTGACATTGATTGGTGGGGTTTCCTTAGTGCTATCTCCCGATAAAAGGGTGTGGAATATCAGCTCTTCAGGAGTCTTTTTTTGTAAATCCTTGTTCGACAATCTCATTGATAAGTCATTTGTTCCTTTGTTTCCTCTTCATATGAAAATTTGGAAAGCGGGTGTCCTTCATAACGTGAAGTTTTTCATGTGGTCCTTAACTCATAGAGGTGTCATGACCAATGACCTTTTCCAAAGGAGAAGGCCATATCACTATCTTTGCCCTCAATGGTGTGTGATGTGCAAGAGGAGTTCGGAATCAGCGGATCATCTCTTTCTTCATTGCTCGGTGGCTATTCAGTTATGGCAGCATCTATTTGGCTTGTGTGATGTTAAATGGGTTGCTCCACGGGATTGCACACATATGCTTCTTGTTAAGTTTGATAGGTTCGGCGGCTCTAAGAGAGCCAAGATATTGTGGTCTTGTATTGTTTGTGCTATTTTCTGGATTATATGGCTGGAGAGAAATTCACGGATCCTTGATGAAAAGGAGGCTGATGCAGATTCTTTGTGGGATAGGACTAGATTTTTGGCATCTTTTTGAGCTTTTGTGTCTCCTCCTTTTAAGGGAATTCCACTCTTCTTGATTTCTAGGGATTGGGTTGTTGTTTGCAACCCCTAGTAATTGGGTTTGCTTGTTTTCTCTTATTTTTGTTCGCTGTTTTTTATTTTGATTAGGTTCCTTTTCAGTGTATGAGGACTTCTTGTCCTCCAAACTTTCTTTTTTAATAAATTTTGATGTTGATTTTCAAAAAATTGCATTCTATCTGAAGGTAATTGCCAAACAATTAATCACAAGAGGGTTCTTTTTTTATTTCTTTATTAATTTACAGTTTTGATCCGTAAAATTTATTTATGAACCAGACCTATGAAATAGCACTGGAGGCATCACCCATATTTGCTGTAACTGGCATACTGGTAATATTATTAACTCTGTGAATCCAAAATTTCAACTAATATCAATTTTTCTATACTAATGTTTCGACTATTTCACCCATAATCTCTAATAACTGTTTTTCTTGACTAGGTTTACATAGGATCATTTTCAATAGGAATGGGGGCCGTTCCTTGGGTTATAATGTCCGAGGTATGTAAATAAAACTAAAGAATTGTCATTTACAAAGAGCCATTCGATGATTTTACCATGAAGAAATTTGCCTTCTGTTGTAGATATTCCCTATAAATGTTAAAGGAATTGCTGGAAGCCTAGCAACACTGGTGAATTGGATCATGGCCTGGTTAGCATCCTACACGTTTTATCTCATGAGCTGGAGCTCTTACAGTAAGGAAACACAACAATCATTTACATTTTTTTTCCTCGGTAATTTGTGTATTAAAAAGCAGAACTAACTCAAAACCAAAGATAATTTGAATGTGAAAGTCTCGGTTTTCAAGCCAATTTGTACAACCTCATTTCATCCCATTCGAGGTTGATGGTTCTGTTTTAACTTCGGACCGTATGAGCCAATGTTAGGATTCATGAGACCTTTGATATATTAACTTGTTTATATACATATATATGTTTCACTGACTTCGGCAGAGCAGCAAACCTGCTTTCTCATTTCTGCTCTTATGGTGCGGTCAACGCAATAGCGATTGTGTTCGTGGTTAAGGTGGTTCCTGAAACGAAAGTGAGAACTTTGGAACAAATACAGGCTGCCATCAATGGTTGAGGAAAAAAGAGAAGGGTGAACAATTGTTTTCGGATTTGTTTTAATTTGAAGGTTTGACAACCCCATTCAATTTCTTAAGAGAAGAAAATTGTCCAAAGCCGCTATAAGTGTTGTATGATTATTCCAAAAGAAGTTGCTTCATGCTACAATTTATTTAATTATATATTTTTTTAAATTGATAGATGAATTATGAATATGAGTATTTGATATTGATTAACATGTTGACTGTGTATTTTCTTTCTTCAAAATTTAAGTTTAATAAATTTTAGAGGACTTCCAGCACTAACTTATCATAAGCACGTTGCATTTCCGTTCTTTTTTTTTCTTCCTCCTTCTGTTGTTACTTTCTGGAGAGAGGGTATTTAAGATATGCAATGACATCCAATTTACTATGTTTGCTATAGTTTGTCTTAGTTTATGAATATTGGCTTAACCATGTTGTAATATACACCTCTATTTTGCAAGGAACCAAAAAAAAAAAGCTTAACATTCACTGGCCCAAGTTTACAAAGACAACTTAAAGAACAAATCTGTCAAAGAAAGGAGCAAATTAAAGGCATAATGGTTCTAACAAATGTGTTTCAATTTCATTAGGTTCATGACTAGAACAGTTGAAATCTCATTGAAAATGTTTAAATTTCACACAATGGGAAGCATCTAATATTTATCTCCAATGACTAAAACTTCATTTAAGGTGCACAGAAGATTTACATAAAATCTGCCAGGATCCTTACCTCCAGTTGAGTCTCAGAAAATGTATTCTTTTATTACATGAACTCAACATTTTCACCCGAAGAAATCCAAACAGTGCAGGTTATTTGAGCCCTCAGATCTTAACCATCAAAAGAATCCAAGCATACAGTCACAACAGCACAATCTTCCATTAAATCAACGATTTTGTGGTTTCTTATAATTTTAGGTGGTTTATATTGACTTGCTGGTGCTCCGTTTTCAATAGCAACTTGCAAAATTTTATCAAAGCTTCCTGGTTTTACAATGTATAACAACATCGGACCAACTTCACCTCTTTGCCTCATAAGCTTATATATTGCTCCGAATCCATCCTCAAGATAGGAACAGCACCCTCTAAGAACTAGAACCGACTCATTTAATTTCTCCAGCTGCAAAAATATAGATCCCTCTGTCACTTCTACAAAAACTTTTAACTGCTTCGGGTTCAACTCCAAATCCAAGAAAACAGCAAACTCTGTCACCTCGGTCATCACTTCGTTTCTTAGCACTTGTTGGAAACTTTTCATTGCAGACATCAAGTCCCCTTCTGTCAAGATCTCACTGGGAGTTTTAGGAGCTCTCATCACAAACTCTACTTGTGGGGATGAATTATAGAAACCAACAACCTTCACAATATCACCCAAACGATATCGATACAATCCCCTATAAGTTGTCACAACCACCTCATACATCTTCCCCACCTCGACACCAGTAAGATCAACCGTTTCTTCATCACGAGCACTCGTCTTGTTCATGTCAAACGGAAGAAACTCAAAATAGGCTGCGGTTGGTAGCATAGTATATCGGGTTAGCTCAGGAGGTTGCGAAATATCCAAGTTAATACCCACACAACATTCTGAAGCAAAGTAGTCTCCACCTAACACTGGTAACTCTCCTCCATAGTACTTAATTTTTGAATAATATTGCTCCATACTTCCAGTGGTAACACACTTAATATAACGGGCATTTGGCCATAATTTACTTAAAATGCCTCCCCAATCCTCTTCTTCACAAATTGATCGATATCTCTTCGCCAGTTCTGGTTGAGGCTCAGAGAGAACCTCAATAACTGAATCTCTCATGGCAACATCAGAAATCCCTGAACTTGGATACCCATATTCAAGATCTTGACATAATTGTTCCCACTTAGATTCCAGCAGGCAAATTGCTCTGACTAAACCGGCAGCATAGGGTGCTCCAATCCCATCAACTAAATCAGAGTGCCTTAAACCACAAAGAAGGTGGCAATACATTTGTTGCTCAACGTCCGAACCTAAAATGACTTCTTTGGGACTGACCGACATGAAGAGAAACCGGGATGCGTCTGGATATTGCTTGGAAAGGGAATTTGCCGAGACTGCCCCAATAAGCCTTGTATCACCTTTTGTGTTTTTTACGTCACCAGCATACATAAACCAGAGAATCTTATTGACAAAGGGTCTTGGAGGGAACAACCTAGGTAAAAAAATAGGAGATCCGAATTATACAAAAACTGATTCAAACATCAAATTCAACTTTAATGACTATAAATATGAAAGAATATAGAAGATAAAACAAGTTATAATTAGTTAGTTACCTTCGAAGAATAGCAGCACCGCCCTGGTAAGCCAAAAACGAGATGGCATTCGATGGCGCAGAATCAAAGTAAGGGATCAATTTTGGCTTCATGGAACTTGTCCCGGAACTGCCAAATAGCATAAAAGTCAGCATACGTGGTTTTTAAGTTACTAATTGTCCCAAAAGTTTAAGTCGTCACAAAATTAGCATCAAGCTAACACTACCTCCATGTGCAAGCCCGCCTCGCACATGAACAAACCGAAAAACGCACAAAGACAGACAGAACAAAGTAGACAACGATAGAGATAACAGGGTGATAAAACTTAAACCTAGGTAACCTGAAACCAAACCCTCATAGCATGTTAAGTCACCCAAAACAAAAAAATTTGCTTAAAACTGTTGAGAAAATGAGTTCAATAATGTATATCAAGCTACCACGGGTAAAGACTTAGACCTTCGAACAAGTGTTTCTAAACTCAAAATAGGTTTTCGGGTAAATTACACTTTTAATAACTCTCGAGTTTGACTCAAATTTTACTTCAAGTCTTTAATTTGAACAACATAGTCTCAATATTTTAAGTCCAATTTTGATTTTATCCTTCCATTAAAATTGGACAGTAAAAATTATTAATTTTTGTAACGAGTGTCGTTCTCAAATTGAAACAAATTGAAACTTTATTTGGCATGTGTTAAAATAACAAATTCTAATTTAACATATTATTTTATCTACGTCACAATCGTTTTATTTAACATCTTATTTGGATCACATCACCTCTCTATCACATTACATTACTTTAACCCCAATCCATATTTCATATTTTTTCATAAAAAAGTAAAAAAGTATACTAGCACTTTCCAAACATCCCCTCAACTTTTTATTTTTTTTTTTTTTTTTTTTTTTTTTAAAGATAACCAAATTGAAGGCACTATTTGACAACTCTATATTAGCACAATTTTTTTTTATCTTTATTTTTTTTTCAAATCACATCACTTCTCTATGTTTTTTTTATATATTTTTTATAAAAATTCAAAAAATATACTTATTTAAATCATCCAAAAACCCTCTAAACCAAATTATTTAAATTAAAATAATAGCGACCAAAATATAATTTGGGTCAAACTACGGGTAATATAGGTTTTATTTTCCACTTCTTCTTTCAATCTGTTTGGTTGCAGAGAAAATGTAAAATAACATACAAAATCAAAACCCCCACTCAAATACACCAACGTTAACAACTTTCTTTTCTTTTCCCAAGCTTTCTCGCCAACCAAAAAGGCAGAGTTTAACCAAAGAAAAGCTCAAGCAAGTGATTTCCCGAACTTGAATGTTAACCTAGCTTCTTTCAAAATCATAGACTATTATTACAATACCTGTAGAAGAAACAGACCAAAGAGTCAACGGAGAGTAAAGGCCGATCATCATCATCATCACCGTCGGCGATTCGAAGGATGTGATCGGCATAGTCATCGTCGTAGCAAGACAGGGGAACGGATCGCCGGAAAGTAGCGGCGTCGACGGCGGCTGGCGTAGGATAGCCTCGGCGGAGATAACGTACGGCGGCGTTGCGTTCGAGAATGGCGCGGAGAGTATCGAGCTGGTGGCGCGGCGCGTCCTTGGTGGTTTCTTCGAGCTTCGTGATGAGCTCATCGTCTGTCATCATCTTTGCAAAGGTGAGATTGGGACCAAGAGACAGACAGACAGACCAGAACAGGACAGCGATGGAGTCGGGTGCGGCCGATAGGGCAGTGGGTTGCTCCGTCCGGACAAGAAAAATAAATAAAATACAGTATATAAATGTAAAATATTACAACTGATAATAGACTTCACCTCGTAGAGCATCAACTGTATATCAAATTTTTGGTTAAATTTGAGTGAAAAATTCATTTGATATAAGTATTTCAACAAAATTTATTGAAATTTTATTAGAACACTGATCGATGGATGTCCGATCGGTCGACCGGCCAATATAAATTTCTTATATTTTTTTGCTTTAAGGTGGTCATCTAGGGGTCGATCGGGCAGACAATCGAGAGGTCGACCGGTTAGTATAATCTTTTTATAAAATTTTATCTTGAGGTGGTCATCTTGAGAGACATCCGGTGGTAAAAATACTAAATTTATAAATAATAATTTGATGAAAGATACATTAGTCCTCAGTTTGATGGGGAAAAAAAAGAGAGAAGTAAAATCCTAATTTTGATACCGATTTGATGAAACTGTTAGAGCTGAAAAAATAATCATTTTTTTCATCAAATTCAAATTTGATGATAATTTTGATATACCGTTGGAGAAAGTCATAGGCTGCTCTCTTTTTTCTTCTTTTTTTTAATCAAATTTAAGTAAAAATTTGATTAAAAACTCTATTTGATATCAAGTACTCCAACCGAAGATTTTGAGTTTTCATCAAAACACTGATCAATCGGCTAGTGTATTTTTTTCACAAATTTTTGCCTAGATCTAGTGGTGAAAGTTCAACAGTTATAAACAGTGATTTGATAAAAGCTCCCAGCATCCTTAATTTTATGAAAGATTTTTGATATTCTCGATTTGATACTTATTTGATGAAATCATTCAAGTAGGAAAAGAAGTGTTTTTTCATCAAATTTTAATTTGATGACGGATTTGATGAACCATTGAAGATGATTTTAGAGTTGAATTAAAATTTTTATTAAATTTGAGTAAAAATTTTAATTTGAAATTTTCATAAGAACATCTCCAATTGTTCGAAAGGACGTCTGGGCGGATATCTTGGAAGTTATTTGGACTTGAACAAAAAATTTGATCAATTTTGCTCTTTGGTAAACATTCTGGAGAATGTCTGACCCAACGATAACAATTTAAATTTGATAAAAGATGAAAAACTTCCTTCATTTGATGAAATTTTTTTTTTGCTTTCCTCTTATTTGATATGAGTTTGATGCCAACATTAGAGCAGATAAAAGTGAACCTCTTTCATCAAATTTAAATCTGATGAAAAGTCTAAGTAAGAATTAGAGACACTCTTTAAAAAAAATATATATATTTAGGGTAAGTTACAATGATATATCCTAAGATTTGGATAAAATATAATAAGCTATACAAATTTTGCATAATTATACTAAAATTTTAATTCAAATAACACTTGTTTTTATTTTCATCAATAATTTATTAATTACATAGATATGAAAAAAACAATATTGTCATATATTTTACACAAAAAATATATTTTTTTTCTTAATTATTTTTTTATCTTCACACTATTTGTATTAATTTCAATTAATTTATGCTAAAGCTATAAGTTATTTGTATTTTTTTTAAAAAAAAACTTCAAAAGAGGTGAGTATAAATTTATCCAAATATATATGATTTTACCTATAATTTTTCTTATAATTTTACCTATAATTTTTCATAATATATTGTATTACTATAATTTTTATTAATACTCTCATTCTTCAACCCCTATGATATGGAGTGAGGTCAAATTATTAGAAACTTGACTCATAATCATCCTTATCTATAGATATAGGTTGGGATTGGGTCAACACAAGCCATGTGTTGTTTTTAATCATAAAAGTATAGCGATCACTGAAATTTCAACAAAAGTGAAAAAGTATAATAGTTTAAGGACTAAAATAGAAAATGTTTTCTTTAAAGATCAAGATGTTAAAGAATTATATTGTAAAGAGTGAAAGCGTAATTTATTATTTTTAATTACCGGGTCAATCTTAAACTCAAAAAGGTTTAAGCTTCTTTCAAATTGATAATTCAATTGGTCTTGAATTCATTCTGGGAATTGCCAGCATTGACAAGCTCAAGATTGCCTCAGGGGTGGGGCTTGGAAACAACGCTCACGTTGTTGAGTTCAAGAATAGCACAAAGGGTATCGATGGCGTATCATGTGTTTCGTCAAGTTTCAAAATAGTCTAGTTGTTTGTCAATCTTGTTTGTAAGATTGGGACCAAGACCAACACGAAACAAAACAAAATAGAACACAACAACGTTGGAGTTGGCTGCGATGTGTAACCGATCCAATAGTTGGTTTCTATACAAGTGAAAAGTAATTTCCCTCAACTAATTAAAGCAGTTTCATTTGGATCACCAGCACCTCGCAAATAATCAAAGTTGGACAGTGATGGTCAATATAAATTCACCCTCTATCTCATTGTGAGGGCAGACACTCATAACATAAATCAATTTAAATAATAAATAAAAAAAAATCACAAAATTCTTGTTACACCCAATCTCATCTATTTCTTTCATTTTCTTTCCAAAACCAGTCGGAATACAAAAGAGTGTGTGTACAAAATTTAATCCTATGCCCTTTTCCTACATTAATCAGATCCATATATAAAATAATTATTCAACATTTTTTCATCAGCAAATGGATTATCTATATCAACAGTGTCATTAGGTTAGTGATCCCATGAACATTTAGGAACAAAAGATCATTGGCCATGCTAATCAAACAAAACTGAATAATTTTGAGAGAGAGAGAGAGATGAGGCCAATATGGCTAGTTGTCCGACAAAGGACATTGACATTTAGGAACAAGAGATCCTTAGTCGTGCACCAAACAACACTGAATAATTTTTGAGGAGAGAGAAAAGAGACCGATCTATCTTTCTATCTATCTCTCCATATGTTTTCCATAAATCCTTTGAAGAAGAGTTTGTTATCTTTACAATTCTCTGTTTGGGTTGTCTACTCTTCCTACTGCCATATTGTTGAGCATTGCTCTCTCCTTTTAACATGTCAACTTTCACTATGTGATGATCTGAAGTCCCTTTGGATGAAAACACAGAGTACGCGCTTGGAACAAACTTGTCCAGTGAGTTTGATGATGCCAATATATAATCCATTCGAGTCCCATATTTGCAAGTCCCTTGTACACCTGTATTATAATGAAAAAAACTACTGGAAATTTTTTATACAATATAAATTGTGTCTACCCGTCATTTGTTTTAGTTTCAATCGTTTATAAAAAAGTTAGTGTAATTATACTAAATTTATGAAACTTAAACTGTAATTTTTAATATTTCAGGGGTAGTAAGTGTAATTTGTCCCATTTTTTATTTTTATTTTTTGTCTATATCATCGTGCTTTTGATTCCTCGAGACATACATGATTTATTAATAGGCGGATAATTTGTTTATTATATAGCCTTACTGTAAGATCAAACAAATAATAAGCGAGTACAATAAAAATTAAATTTGTTCTCTGTCACTATGGTGTGTATTTGTAATGTATAATAATAAAGAAATTTGCATTATTTTCATGTGTATATATAATATCTATTTACCACCGAGTAATTTATTCAATGGTAAGAATTTGAATTTCCTCACTCAATGTTTTGGTTCAAGTCTCCATAGCCGTTCAGTCCGGTTAAACCTGCTTTTCAACGCACAAAACACCTGACGGATTCTTAAATTCTGCGCTTATGTAGGTGCCACATACTGTCTGCTGGATATGTAGAGTAACCTATCTGTATATCTATTTTCAAATTAATATATACATATATATATACTCCCTCCGTCCCAAAATATTAGTCCCTTATTCCATTTTTCATTGTCCCAAAATATTTGTCCCTCTTCAAAAATCAAGTACAAAAATGATAAAAATTTCCTATTTTGCCCTTCTTTTAAATTAATAAACAATATAAAAAGTACAATTATGACATTGATATTCCCAAAAAATGTGCTATCAAAAGGATAATTTTAAAAAATCAACTTTTTTCAAATGCAATAATTGTACTATCAAAAAAAGTTAAATTCCCCAAAATGGACCATTATTTTGGGACGGAAGGAATAATATTTATTTGTTATTGTCTTCCTACATAGTGGTACCTTGATTTATCTTTGTAAAACAACCTATTCTAAAAATGGTCGAGAGAAACACTCTTGCATCAAAAGTTGAAATTGTTCTTAACATCAAAGTCATCTTCAGTCAACTCTTCCGCAATAATAGAGTTAAGAAAGCGAATTCTTTTTCTTCTTCTTTTTCTTCTTCTTCTTCTTCTTCTTCTTCATTTAAGTTTAAGTTTTTCTCAAGATCAAAGCCATCTTCAATCAACCCTTCAAATTCTACTAAAATAGATCTGGGTATCCTAATTGTGTTTCTTTAATTTCCGCATACATGAAAACTATCATAATTCTAAATGTATCTTGTATTCGTATCCGATTTTCTAATGAATACACAAATAGATGGCTCCATTTTAAAAATAACTTTGGGCCCACATGCATTTCACATCTGCTTCATAGATACAACAAAACTGTATTTGAAAATCTTTTGCAATTATTCTTTAATGAATTAAACAAAAGATTGGATGAACACTTTGAATTTTCCAATTTATGGCATCTTCCAGCTAGGTATTGCACATAATCATGTGCATAATATAATATAACAACATGATGTTTGTCAATAAGTTGTGGATCTGATGGAGCAAATGACTCACATACACATATGATTGGATATATACATACACATATCTATACTAGCGATTGTGCACATACGATGCATGAAGTGACTGTCATCATATTCGAACCCACAAGTGTAAGGGTAATAAAGGAGCCGAACAATTAACTGTTCAAGTTTGGTTTGAAAATTTTAACAAGTTTCAAAATTTGTTTAAGCTTGATTTGTTAAACTTTCAAGCCGCTCTCAAATAAGTTTTTGTCAAGCCGAGCTCAAGTAATTTGGTATTTTTTTTATATAGTTTTAGGTTTATCGAACTGTTTATGTTTGGTTTGAAAACTTTAATGCCTTTCAAAATGTACTCAAGATTAGCTTATTTACTTAATGAACCGAGTTCAAACAAGATTTTAATGAGTCGAACTCGAACTGTTTGGTCTGTTTATCATTCCTATTCACAAGTTCAAGGTTGAGGAACCGAGTGTTAACCACTGACAGAGTAATTACAAGTTCACTACGAATTTTGTTATCTAATTTTCTTTCTCATGAAAAAAAGCGGTATATGTGTTTTGTTTTCTGTTTTGTGTTTTCATTTCGAAAAACACATAAAGATTATTGGATGAATTATTTTCAAAAACTGTTTGGTTGTGTTTTCACTCTTGTTCTTGAATTACATTCACCAAAATACTTCATCAGCTCAAAAAAAAATTTAAAATTTAAAATTTAAAAAAAAAAATTAAAAAAACATAGCATAACAAGACAAAACAAGAAGGTGTTATAATGCGTCACTCAAGATTTATACATATTTATACATAAAAAACACATGGCAGCATAGAGTCTAGTTGTAAGAGGTGTAACCCCGAGTGGGACCCATATATAAATAACATATAGCCAATTTGGCCAACTTACTTGAATGAAGCCATTTTAAAAACAGTACTTATTTTTATTTTTATTTTTATTTTTGTGAACAAGTTTTAGCCCTCGCAGTCTTTCACATGAATTTTCTTGGTCTTCTTATCATATATTATAAGCAGAGTTTTCTTCTATAAGCACACACATATATCCAGCCACAGAAGAGATAAACATACCTGCAAATAGGAAAGATGGTAACCAAAAAGGATGAAGAGCGAAGCCAGGGCAGCTTGCAAGAAGAGAATAGAGAGCCACTTCTACAAGATCAAGAGAAGACTTCAGCTGTTAGAAAAGATAGGCATGAATGGATGGTTTACTTCAGCACCTTCGTTGCCTCATGTGGTTCTTATTCACTTGGAACATGTGTAAGAGCCAATCAAAACATTCAATTAAACTTCATTTCATGTAAGAAATAGTTAAAAGAATTCAATTATAAACGACCAAAAAAAAAATTTGTTCATAAACACAACTCCACTTGAATTAAATGCTTCTTTAGAATTCTGATGTGTCGTAATTTGTTGGTTTTCAGGTGGGCTATTCATCGCCTGTTCAATCTGCCATCACAGAAGATCTCAATCTATCGATAGCAGAGGTTCACTATAAGATGTATCTTCAAGCTTGTGAATGAATCTATTTCTTTGCCTCTTTGCTAATAAATCTGAATTACCATAGAGAATGGCAGGATATATAAGATAATAATGACCAGTGCATAACCAGTGCATACAAAGTTCTGAATATTAGAAATCCTATATTCTTTTTACCAGAAAAATCCTAACTGGAAAAATATGTGCATCACTGGATCATTAAGTCAATGAGGGATTAGAAATATATGTTTGCTTCCCTTATGTGCTTTCACGCCCCTTGCGTTTGTTTTGGGCGCAAAATGTCGCGGGGTCAAATCTTGTCATCCTTGCCTATCACTTCTCCTTTGAGTAGTTAGGAAGGATCAACTGAGATGGATTAATTTTGAACATCCATAATATTTCATTTTTGTCCCAATTAGAAACTTTTATGGATGGGATTCCGAGCAGGAGATATCAGGAATATAAATATATTAGTGATTCATATATACAGTAATTCAGAAAATTACAAAAAAGTTTGTTTTTTCACGTACTTCTTCAGTGATGTATATAGTAAGTTCATCAATGCTCTATAAGAAATACCATGAATCATAAATGCAGTTCGAAACACAGTAACAACTAAAAATCTGAAAAAGAATTCCGGGCATGGTACAAGGGAATTAACAAATTTGACTTTAATTAACATAATAAAAAACCCAGTTCGAAAAAAAAAATCAATATTGTTGCTGCTGTAGTGTATAAAGACTGATTCACTAATACTTCAGATATAGTCAAGAACTACCCATACAATATAAGCAGTGTCCAAAATAATTCATGTGATTCACAATAGATAAAATATTGAACAAACCGGGGATTCAAATTTGAAAAGTTCACATTTAGATTTCTCCAAAATCTTGATAACTTTATTTTTTGGAGTTTGCTGATGAGTCTGTTTGCAGTACTCATTGTTTGGCTCCATACTGACTTTCGGAGCGATGGCTGGTGCAATTACAAGTGGGCCCATTGCTGATTTCATTGGTCGCAAAGGGGTAAGCCAGTGAGATCAACCACTAGATTGACTAGGACAAGACCGGATCCTCTGTCCGGATCCTCCCCTGTCCCAAGACACCTTTACTATAAGACAGGTCTCTCTGACATGATAATGCAGTGGATAGAGATCTTTGGACAGGGAAACAGTGAAGATCCAGACAGAGTATCATGTCGGTCCTGTTTGGTGTAGCTGTTAAAATAGATTATAAATTATAACTTAACAGATTATAGATTATGACTTTAATCAGAAGCTGTTAATCTGTTTGGTATAACTGTTGGATTATAGATTTAAGTTACTGAGTAGTGTTTGTTAAACAAGCTGTGAAGTACCTTTTTTAATTAACTTTTATTTTTTTATTATTCACTATTTGTATACATTTCTCATAAAAAATAATAATAATATTTTATAGTCCATTTGGGTCTTTTTTTATTTAAAAAAAAAATAAAAAAATTTAAGAGTATAACCACCGTGAATTAACATGTCCGCAGCAGAAGCTGATAATCAGAAGCAAGGGGTGAGCAGCTTCTCAGAATTAGCTTTTTTGACTTAAAATAAGTTGTTAGAATCAGAAGCCGTTTGAAATAAGTTTAACCAAACAGTCCAAAATAACTTTTTAAAAGCCAGAAGCCATAAGTTGGCTCAAAAAAGCTCCACCAAACACCCCCATCATCTAGGACTTCGTGCTTCTTTGGAAACACCCAAAAGTAATGATTTGTCATATGTGAAATGCAAGCAGGCAATGAGAACGTCAAGCGCTTTCTGTGTTGCTGGCTGGCTAGCCATTTACTTTGCTAAGGTTTGTGTCATCTTACTCTTTTTTGAGTAATTTTCTTCCTAACCTCCTAAGTGTGTGTGTTTTACATAGCACAGTGACCTAATATCTGTGCTTTCATTATTACAAAAAAGGGGTCTTTAGCTCTGGACATTGGAAGAGTAGCAACAGGATATGGAATGGGAGTCTTTTCCTATGTGGTACTTTCTCTTTCCTTTCTTTCCTTGTAAACTGTTTTGGAAAAAGCAGACAGTGTTGTGATCTTGTTAGTGTTACACTTGGAACAGAAACAAAACAGAAACACAATAATGAAACAGTACAGAAATGAAAACTGTATCCAAAAAAAATAAAATGGAAAAGGCATGTGGGTCCGATCTTTATTTTGGCTCCAACGTAGCCAAAACCCAAGGTTACAAAACCATTTTCTAACAAGCTTGACACTAATGTTATGATCATTATGGGATAACAAGGTACCTGTATTTATAGCTGAAATAGCACCCAAGAATCTGCGAGGAGCATTGACTACCCTAAATCAGGTAAAATCACAAGCAACCACATCAATAAATGCAAGAAAAAAAAGTGAAAAATCAAATCTGATTTTTTCCTACTTACTCTGCAGCTCATGATTGTATGTGGTGTCTCTGTTTCCTTCATTATTGGGACAGTGCTGTCGTGGAGAGCTTTAGCATTAACAGGTGAAATTGTCAACACGTACCAAAACATGCATTCAGTTTCCATATATATATAAATTAAGAGAGAGAGAGAGAAAGTGAGAGAAGAAAATTAGAGTGAGTGTTAATAAGCCAAGGGACTCACTCGTGAAGTGCTTGCAGGACTAATTCCATGTGCCATTCTGATTTTTGGTCTCTTTTTCATCCCAGAGTCTCCGAGATGGTTGGTAAGAAATTAAGAGTAAATTCTTCTTTAAATTTATCAGGTATTATCATGGTACCGTTTCAGAGAAAGGTGTTTATTGATAATGCAGGCAAAGGTGGGGCAACGAAAAGAGTTTGAAGCTGCATTACAGAAACTGCGGGGCAAGGATGCTGATACATCTCAGGAGGCAGCTGAAATCCAAGTTCGTATTTTTAAATTCTAAGGCTGTGTTTGGATCATATATTTGGATAGGAATTTGGAAAAGGAAAGCAAAGGAAAGGAAAATGCAAGGGAAATGAAGAAAAAAAATTAGCTTATGTTCCATTCACATTTCTCTTACATTTTTTTTTTTTTTCCCCCTTTCCAAATCCCTACCCAAATCCATGATCTAAACACAACCTAACAACTCCGGTTTTCATTGATAATGTTTCAGAGAATTTGGAAAATGACAAGCAGGATTTTGTTATTGCTTGACAGGATTATATAGAAACTCTTCAACAGTTTCCAAAAGCCAAACTACTGGATTTGTTTCAAACAAGATACTTGTTCTCAGTCATTGTAATTTGTTTTTTCTTTTTGTTTCTCAAAACTTTATAAATTATCTTTCCTCACTGCCTAGCTCATCCCTTCAGAGGAACTTCCATTCTGCAATTTTCCATTTCTAATTTTTTTAATTACTGTTTTCTTTTGCCAGATTGCAGTTGGACTGATGGTCTGTCAACAATTAGGGGGAATCAATGGAGTCTGTTTTTATAACACCAGTATTTTCGAGTCAGCAGGTAAACAGACTTATTTTATGACTATTTTTTTTTTCAAATCGGTAGGAGGGCGATAGGGGAAGGAGAAGCAGCATCGCACCGATAAGACTAGGGTTGTGCAAAAGACTACACAACTTCACCAGGCCTAGGGCTGTAAAAAAACTGCCCAACCCACCAATCCAACCTGCCTCAACCCGTACATATCCCTAACCAGACCTTTTTTTTTCATCTATTAGAGGGCAAATTGAACTGCTCAACTCTGAAAATTAAATTTATGTTGATTTAACTTCATAGGCAATAATTTTAACAATTGCATATGTAATTTCCCAGGATTTCCTTCCAATGTTGGAACTATAATCTACGCATGCCTTCAGGTTATCAACTTTTACTCCCTCGGTTCCCTGGAGATCAAGATATTTCAATATACAATGAATGGGTTCAAGTGGATTTTTTTTTTTTTTTTAATTTTAAATTTTTTCATTCTTTCTTTTTTTTGGCAGGTAGTTATTACTGCACTAGGTGCAACCTTAATAGACAAAGCTGGAAGAAAACCCCTGATACTGGTAAACCTAGTATAATGTACCCATTACCTTCAAATATGCTACTGCCATTCCTCCTTGAGTAAGATCAGATTGTTTTCATTCTAGGTTTCTGCATCGGGATTGGTCCTAGGTAGTGTACTTACGGCTATTGCATTCTATCTAAAGGTGATTGCCAAACAATTAACCACAAGAGGGTTCTTTTTTTATTTCTTTATTTATTTATAGTTTTGATCTGTAAAATTCATTTATGAACCAGACCTATGAAATAGCACCGGAGGCATCACCCATATTTGCTGTAACTGGCATACTGGTAATACTATTAACTCTGCGAAGCCAAAATTTCAACTAACATTAATTTTTCTACACTAATGTTTCGACTATTTCGCCTATAACATCTAATGACTGTTTTTCTTGACTAGGTATACATAGGATCATTTTCAATAGGAATGGGGGCCGTTCCTTGGATTATAATGTCTGAGGTATGTAAATAAAACTAAAGAATCGTCATTTACAAAGAGCTATTCGATGATTTCACCTTGAAGAAATTTGCCTTCTGTTGTAAATACCAAACCAAACTATGCCTTAAGTCCCATCAAATGGAGTAGGCTGCATGAATTCTTCTTCTCCACTCGATTCTATTCAAGACTATTTCGTTGGTCAAACTAAGAAGATTCACATCTTTATTTACTACACTAATCCACGTCAATCTAAGTTTACTCCTTCCCCTGACACTATCATCTGTCGTCACTTTATCGCATCTCTTCACTACTGCCTTTGTTGGTCTCCGTTGTATATGACCAAATCATCTCAATCTATTCTCTCTCAACTTATCTTCTATCAGTACTACTCCTACCCATTCTCAAATATATTCATTCCTAACTCTGTCTTTTCTAGTCTTGCCACATATCCACCTTAGCATCCTCATCTCAGCAACACTCATCTTATCTACATGTTGTTTCTTAGTTGCCCAATACTCCATCCCATACAATACAACATCACTGGTCTAATAACCGTTCTATAGAACTTCCGTTTTAGTTTAATGGGTACTCTTTTATCGTACAATACTCCAGACGCACTCCTCCACTTAAGCCACCCCGCCTTAATTCTATAGACCACATCCGCTCCAATCTCCCAATCGTTGTGATAATCGATCCTAAATAACGAAAATGTTCACTCTTAGGTAGTTCTTGGTTCTCAATCTTCACTTATCCTCTGCTTCCATTGTGATTGTTACTAAAACTACACCCCATATACTCTGTCTTAGTTCTACTTATCCTAAATCTTTTAAATTCAAGTGTTTTTCTCCAAATCTCTAACTTAGTATGAACTCCTCTAGTCTCGTCCACCAACACGATATTATTTGAAAAAGCATACACCATGGCACATCATCTTGAATATTGCGCGTCAACTCATCCATAACTAAAGAGAAAGGATAAGTATTTAAGGTTAATCCTTGGTGTAACTCTACAATAACTGAAAATTCACTCATCTCTCCAACAGGCGATCTAATAGCGGTCACCGTACCTTCATAAATATTCCTAATCAAATCAATGTAACCTTTTGTCACCTCTTTCTTCTCTAACACCCACCAGATGATATCCCAAGGCACTCTATCTTATACTTTCTCAATATCGATAAAAACCATATGAATGTCTCTTTTCTTTTCTCTATACTTTCTATTACTCTCCTCAAAAGATAGATCGCTTCTATTATTGACCTACTAGGCATAAACCCAAATTGATTCTCTAACACCTCTGTTATATCTCACAATCAATGTTCCATCACTCTCTCCCACACCTTCATTGTGTGACACATTAACTTGATTCCTCTATAGTAGTTGCGATTCTGGATATCTCCTTTCTTATTATATGTTGGCACTAAAATACTCTTCCTTCACTCCTCTGACATTTTCCTAATCCACAAAATCTTACTAAATAACCTAGTCAACCAAACAACCCCCTTCTTATCCAAACATTTTCACGTTTTAAAAGATCATCGGATCCTAAAACCTAACTCAATTTCATTTGCCTTCTGTTGTAGATATTCCCTATAAATGTTAAAGGAATTGCTGGAAGCCTAACAACATTGGTGACTTGGATCATGGCATGGTTAGCATCCTACACTTTCAATTATCTCATGAGCTGGAGCTCTTACGGTAAGGAAACACAACAATCATTTACATTTTTTTTTCCTTGGTAATTTGTGTATTAATGCTCTACAAAAGCAAAACTAACTCAAAACAAAAGATGATTTGAATGTGAAAGTCTCGGTTGGGTCATTTTAAACGAAATGGGCATGAAAATGTGTTTTCAAGCCAATTTGTACAACCTCATTTCATCCCATTCGAGCTTGATGGTTCTGTTTTAACTTCAGATCGTATGAGCCAATGTTAGGATTTATGAGACTTTTGATATATTAATTTGTATATATACATACATATGTTTGACTGACATCGGCAGAGCAGCTAACCGTCTTTCTGCTCTATAAGAATCATTCCAACACAAGTTTAAGGTTATTTTGACGAATCATGAGAGCATTGGGTTTACATTTGATTATGTGGTTATCAGGTACTTTCATTCTTTATGGTGCGGTCAACGCAATAGCAATTGTGTTCGTGGTTAAGGTGGTTCCTGAAACAAAAGGGAGAACTTTGGAACAAATACAGGCTGCCATCAATGGTTGAGGAAAAAAGAGAAGGGTGAACAATTGTTTTCGGATTTGTTTTAACTTGAAAGTTTGACAACCCCATTCAAATTCTTAAGAGAAGAAAATTGTTCGAAGCCACTAAAGTGTTGTATGATTATTCCAAAAGAAGTTGCTTCATGGCACAATTTATTTAATTTTTTTTTAAAAAAAAAAAAATTGATAGATGAATTATGAATATAAGTATTTGATATTGATTAACATGTAGACTGTGTACCCTTTTTTATTCAAAATTTAAGTTTGATAAATTTTAGAGAATTTCCAGCACTAACATTATCATAAACACGTTGCATTTCCGTTCTTTTTTTTCTTTCTTTTCTTTACTCCTGTTGTTTCTTTCTGGAGAGAGGGGATTTAAGATATGCAATGACATCCAATTTACTATGTTTGCTATAGTTTTTGTCTTAGTTTATGTTTTATTGGCTTAACCATGCTGTAATATACACCTCTATTTTTGCAAGGAACCAACAAGAAAAAATGCTTAACATTCACTGGCCCAAGTAAGTTTACAAAGACAACTTAAAGAACAAATCTGTCAAAGAAAGGAGCAAATTAAAGGCATAATAGTTCTAACAAATGTGTTTCAATTTCATTAAGTTCATGACTGGAACAGCTGAAATCTCATTGAAAATGTTTGAATTTCACACAATGGGAAGCATCGAATATTTATCTGCAATGACTAAAACTTCATTTAAGGTGCACAGAAGATTTACATAAAATTATGCCAGTATAGAACAAAAGATCCTTACCACCAGTTGAGTCTCAGAAAATGTCTCCTTTTATTACATGAACACGACATTTTCACACGAAGAAATCCAAACAGTGCTTGTTATTTGAGCCCTCAGATCTTAACCATCAAAAGAATCCAAGCATACAGTCACAACAGCACAATCTTCCATTAAATCAACGATTTTGTGGTTTCTTATAATTTTAGGTGGTTTATATTGACTTGCTGGTGCTCCGTTTTCAATAGCAACTTGCAAAATTTTATCAAAGCTTCCTGGTTTTACAATGTATAACAACATCGGACCAACTTCACCTCTTTGCCTCATAAGCTTATATATTGCTCCGAATCCATCCTCAAGATAGGAACAGCACCCTCTAAGAACTAGAACCGACTCATTTAATTTCTCCAGCTGCAAAAATATAGATCCCTCTGTCACTTCTACAAAAACCTTTAACTGCTTCGGGTTCAACTCCAAATCCAAGAAACCAGCAAACTCTGTCACCTCTGTCATCGCTTCATTTCTAAGCACTTGTTGGAAACTTTTCATTGCAGACATCAAGTCCCCTTCTGTCAAGATCTCACTGGGAGTTTTAGGAGCTCTCATCACAAACTCAACTTGTGGGGATGAATTATAGAAACCGACAACCTTCACAATATCACCCAAACGATATCGATACAATCCTCTATAAGTAGTCACAACCACCTCATACATCTTCCCCATCTCAACACCAGTAAGATCAACTGTTTCTTCCTCACGAGCACTCATCTTGTTAATGTCGAACGGAAGAAACTCAAAATACGCTGCAGTTGGTAGCATAGTAAATCGGGTTAGCTCTGGAGGTTGTGAAATATCCAAGTTAATACCCACACAACATTCTGAAGCAAAGTAGTCTCCACCTAACACTGGTAACTCTCCTCCATAGTACTTAATTTTTGAATAATATTGCTCCATACTTCCAGTGGTAACACACTTAATATAACGCGCATTTGGCCATAATTTACTTAAAATGCCTCCCCAATCCTCTTCTTCACAAATTGATCGATATCTCTTCGCCAGTTCTGGTTGAGGCTCAGAGAGAACCCCAATAACTGAATCTCTTGTGGCAACATCAAAAATTCCCGAACTTGGATACCCATATTCAAGATCTTGACATAATTGTTCCCACTTAGATTCCAGAAGGCAAATTGCTCTAACTAAACCGGCAGCATAGGGTGCTCGAATCCCATCAACTAAATCAGAGTGCCTTAAACCACAAAGAAGGTGGCAATACATTTGTTGCTCAACATCCGAACCTAAAATGACTTCTTTTGGACTGACCGACATGGAGAGAAACCGGGATGCGTTAGGATTATTGCTTTGGAAAGGGAAAAGGGGAGGCTGCCATAGCCTTGTATCCCCCTTTTGTGTTTTTTACATCACCAGCATACATAAACCAGAGAATCTTATTGACAAAGGGTCTTGGAGGGAACAACCTAGGTAAAAATATAGGCGATCCGAATTACACAAAAACTTATTCAAACATCAAATTCAACTTTAATGACTATAAATATGAAAGAATATAGAAGATAAAAATGAGTTATAATTAGTTGTTACCTTCGAAGAATAGCAGCACTGCCCTGGTGAGCCAAAAATGAGATGGCTTTCGATGGCGCAGAATCAAAGTAAGGGATCAATTTTGGCTTCATGGAACTTGTCCCAGAACTGCCAAAAAGCATAAAAGTCAGCATACATGGTTTTTAAGTTACTAATTGTCCGAAAAAATCGTTACAAAATTAGCATCAAACTAACACTACCTCCATGTGCAAGCCTGCCTCGCACATGAACAACCGAAAAATGCACAAAGACAGACAGAACAAAGTAGACAATGATAGAGATAACAGGTTGATAAAACTTAAACCTAGGTAACCTGAAACCAAACCCTCAAAGCATGTCAAGTCACCCAAAACAAAAACAAAAAATTGCTTAAAACTGCTGAAAAAATGAGTTCAATAATGTATATCAAGCTAACACGGGTAAAGACTTAGACCTTCGAACAAGTGTTTCTAAACTCAAAATAGGTTTTCGGGTAAATCACACTTTTAATAACTCTCGAATTTGACTCAAATTTTACTTCAAGTCTTTAATTTGAACAGTATAGTCTCAACATTTTAAGTCTAATTTTGATTTTATCCTTTCCATTAAAATTGGACAGTTAAAATTATTAATTTTTGTAACGAGTGTCGTTCTCAAATTGAAACAAATTGAAAGTTTATTTGGCATGTGCTAAAACAACATATGCTAATTTAACACATTATTTTATTTGAGTCACAATCATCTTATTTAACATCTTATTTCGGTCACATCACCCTCCTACCACACTACATCACTTTAACCCCAGCCACATTTCACATTTTTTTATGGTAAAAAGTCAAAAACTTAATACTAATCTAACAATTCTCAAACAACCCCTAAACTTTTCTTTTCTTTTCTTTTTTTAAGATAACCAAATGCACTATTTGACATCTCTATATTAGCGCATATTTTTAATCTTTTTATTTTTTTTTTAAATCACATCAACTCTCTATTTTTTTATGCATTTCTTTTTTGTAAAAAATCAAAAAAATATACTTATGTAAATCATCCAAACAACCTCTAAACTTAAATAGGCCAAATTATTCAAATTAAAATAATAGTGACCAAAATATAATTTGAGTCAAACTACTGGGTAATAATAGGTTTTATTTTCCACTTCTTCTTTCAATCTGTTTGGTTGCTGAGAAAATGTAAAATAACATACAAAATCAAAACCCCCACTCAAAGTCTCAATCATATATAACACCAACGTTAATAACTTTCTTTTCTTTTCCCAAGCTTTCTCGCCAACCAAAAAGGCAGAGTTTAACCAAAGAAAAGCTCAAGCAAGTGATTTCTCGAACTTGAATGTTAACCTAGCTTCTTTCAAAATCATAGGCTATTATTACAAATACCTGTAGAAGAAACAGACCAAAGAGTCAACGGAGAGTAAAGGCCGATCATCATCATCATCACCGTCGGCTATTCGAAGGATGTGATCGGCATAGTCATCGTCGTAGCAAGACAGGGGAACGGATCGCCGGAAAGTAGCCGCGTCGACGGCAGAGGGCGTAGGATAGCCTCGGTGGAGATAACGTACGGCAGCGTTGCGTTCGAGAATGGCGCGGAGAGTATCGAGCTGGTGGCGCGGCGCGTCCTTGGTGGTTTCTTCGAGCTTCGTGATGAGCTCATCGTCTGTCATCATCTTTGCAAAGGTGAGATCGCGACCCAGACAGACAGACCAGAACAGGACAGCGATGGAGTTGGGTGCGGCCGATAGGGCAGTGGGTTGCTCCGTCCGGACAAGAAAAATAAATAAAATACCAAATGTAAATGTAAATGTAAATGTAAAACATTACTACCAATTGACTTCACTTGTTAGGGTGCTTATTCTTTTTTTTTATTATTATTTTTTATTATTAAATTTACCTAAAAATTTGAGTAAAAACTCTATTTGATATCACGTGGTTTAATAGAGGGATATCAAGTATTTTAATGGAGAATTTTGAGTTTTTATTAAAATATTGGTTGATTGACTAATGTATTTTTTTCACAAATTTTTACCTAAAGATGGTCATCCAAAGATATCCGGTGATGAAAATTCAACGGTTATAAACAATGATTTGATAAAAGCTACTAGCGTCCTTAATTTGGTGAGATTTTTTTTGATATCCTCTGTGGAGAAGTGGTTTTGGAAATACTCTTCAGATCCTAGGAGACGCTAGTGATCCTCAGCTAGTCACTTGAAAAGACACAAACACTCCGGTCGGGGGTGCCGGAATTAGCACTCTGACGGACAAATCAGTTCTTGTACTCAAAATAGCTTGTCTTCTAAGTTAAGCAAAAAGTGATTATTACATACCTTTCTAAACCTGTGGTTCTTATATTTATACTTGCTTTTTGGGCCTCGGAGCCTGAGTCTACTTTTATCCCATTCTCCTTTTATTTATTCGGAGCTATTGGTCTTCGGCTATTCAGCCTTCCTAACGTATTCGGCATCCTAGTCACGCAATATGGAGCCGAATAATATCTGATTTCTGGGGTACGCACCTTCCGACTCTTCTATTTATTCGGCTCCCACAATTGCCCCCCAAATACTTTACCAACAACAGTTTGGCTGGAGTGCTTGGTTCCAAATTTCGAAAAGTCAGAGCCAAAATTCAGCGATTAGCCTAATCCTCATGCGGATATCTTAGCGCACCCCTTTTGGTTGTCGTGTCGACTTCCCACCCTCTCGTACGTGTCTATTTATTGCGATTTAAAATTTTGACGTCCTTTCGAGTATGTATTTTACGACGCTCGTCGTTGGATTGCCTTTTGAATCGTCCCTGCAACTCTCTTCTCCGATATCCTCTTTGTTCTTTGTAAGTTCTCTCATTCCTTACTCCGAAGACTCTTTCTGGTTTATTCCTTCCTTGGCATATTCTTATAAACTGTTGGGTATGGCAAAACATTTAAAAGACCTTCTCTCGTCAGATCGAATTGTTGGCTTTAAACGCCATTTCTCAATTCCTGATGATGCCCGACTATTGTTTGTGGCAGACTGCACTCTTAATATGGAGAAGGAGGACAAAACCACGATTGTCTTTCCTCTTTTGTCAATCGCAGAGAGTGGAGTCCGTTTTCCCCTTCACCCGTTTCTTAGGGTTGTGCTTCACCATTGGGGTTTAATCCCTTCCCAATTCAATGTGAATTTCTTTAGAATTATAATGGGGGTTATAGCGCTCAACCGTCGCCTTAGAATTAACCTTGGCATTCCAACCATCCGGCATTGCTATGCCTTGGCTAAGTCTTCTGGTCGGCACAGGCGTTTCTTCCTTAGGGCCAAGGATATCGACCATCAGCTAATTACTATGCTTTCCAGTTCTGGGAAACGAGTTGATGATGTTATGGTCGTTGTCCAGGGTTACTGGGAATTTGGCGAAGGGGAGGATCACATCAACTCTATTTATAGACAGAGGGGCGAGCCAGGTGGCCGATTGCCTTTTCACTTTTATTATTTATTCATTTTTGTTGTAAAGCCTCTTCTTTGAAATGTTATGGCTTGGCTTATGTAGGGAACGATTTGAAGAAAATCCTGTCTTCGACTGACGACGCCGTTCTTTTGGATATCAAAGTCGCGCTCAAGTATTTCGGTCGTCGAAGTCTTCAGAAACAATGGAGGACGGCCAACGTTTTGCTTCGTTACGAGCCGACATATACGACCTTCTCGGCGGCGGAAAATATTCCGGTTCCAGAAGGTGAAGATTCTCTTATCACTCTTATTTTGTCCGACTTCAAAAACTTGAGGCAGGTTGGTTTTGAAGGGTCTGATTCGGAGCGGGATATAGCTAATGTTACCGAATCAGATCAGTACGAAACCGAGTCTAACGAGGTATTGAATTCGGCCGATCCTCCATCCACTTCGGACCAAGGGGATCTTTCACTTGACGGCATTTTCACGGCTTAGAGGATCTTCCCGCCGCAGGCCTCGAAGACATGGCCGGGTTAAGCCTGACAAAACTTGCCAAGAAGACGAATGTGGAAATGTTGGCCGCGCGGCGAAGAGCGGAGGCCCTTCCGTCTGAAGTACCAACCGCCACCAAATCTCAACTGTAATACCCCTGTTCCGTAATATGTTAATTGGTCCTTAACATGATGTGATTATGTATTTTGATATGATTTTGTGTTCCATTATGTGAAAATATGTGGTTTTGAAATTCTATATGTTCACCGTAGGAATATCTGTTGAATAATCTGCCTTGGGAATTAAATTGAGGGCCCTATCGGCCACAGAACCCAAAATTGACTACGCCTTTATGATTAGCGTAATTTTTAGAGCCTGTGGTGAAATTTAATTAGAAATTGATTCTGGTCAGATTAAATTGATTTATTTAATGGCATTGTGCTCAAATTGTTTAATATTCTTAAATTGGGACTTAGTGGGATTTGCTGGATAGGAGCATTACACCCTAATTCCCTCCTTTCTTGTATTTTGACTGACCTTGGACTCAAAACCAGAGGAAGGGCCGGTTATAAAGAGAGAAAGAGAGAGACTTGTGTAATTTGGGCTCAAGACTTGGGAATTTGAAGATTAAGCTCAAGATTTGGCTAGAACTTGGGTGTTTAAGGCTTCTAGGTGAGTAATTATCCCTTGAATCATGGATTCTTGTTTGCCATTTGTAAATTCAGAGTTGAACAAGGAGAAAGAGCATGAGTTGGGTTAATTTTGTTGAATTGAAGCTTAATATGTGCATGCATGTAAGAAATTACCTTGAAATTGCATGTTTGAGCACAAATATGTATAATCCATGTGAAATGTTAAAGGAAACTTATGTTTTGACCACCTCTTCATCAAATGAGTTGAGAATGGTGAGCATCTCCCACATGTATGTACAAATTATGGGAGAGTAAGTCTTGAATGTTTGAATTTGAGCATGTTGGTGATGAGTTGGACATATTTTGGGGCGTACATGTGAATTATTTGTGAATTGAGCTTCATTGGGTTGTGATTTAAGGTTTACATCATGTTAGTATAATTATATTTGAGATTTGAGCCATAACATGCATGTTTTGTTGGTTGAAAATCGAATTGGAGCTCAAGAACACAACCTGGAATTTCCAGAATTTTGACGTCCGCTCGAGCGGGGGAAATGCCGCTCGAGCGGAGAATTCGAGCTCCCAGCATTTTTGACAGACATGCTGCCCGCTCAAGCGGGGAAGTTTACGCTCGAGCGGGAAGCTATGTAGACAGGCAGTCCGCTCGAGCGGGAATTTGAGGTAACCAGCACTTTTGTAGGCTTAAGGGTTCGCTCGAACGGGGAAGTCCATGCTCAAGCGGGGACCCTGTTTTCTGAAACTCTGAAAATGCATTCTGTGTTATATTTTTCCGTTCTCTTTCACTTGTAAGCACTCTTAGGCATGCATTGAGCATTGTAAATGAGTTAACGAGATAAGAATAAAGCCTAAAGAGGAATATGTGAATTAAAGAACGGATTGAACTGTTAGTGACCCTTTTTGTGTTCATGAAATGTGTAGGGTCAAGCTCCAGGGCAAATCCACAAGCCGATCACTGTGAGTAATATCGATATTTGAAAGCTTAGTAATGTCCAACTGTTTATTCCCTTATAAGCTTTATGAGTTGCTAATTGGGATTGTGGACAAAAGTCTGACATGAACGAATGAATGGACCGGAGGTCGTTTTGATAGAAATAAATGGACCTAAGGTCGTTTTGACATAAATGAGTGGGCCGAAGGCTGTTTTGACGTAAACGAATGGACCGGAGGTCGTTTTGATAGAAATAAATGGACCTAAGGTCATTTTGATATAAATGAGTAGGCCGAAGGCCGTTTTAACGTAAACGAATGGACCGAAGGTCGTTTGGACATGTAAGAATGGACCTAAGGTCGTTTTGACATGAATAAGTGGGCCGAAGGCCGTTTTGACACGAATGTATGGGCCAAAGGCCGTTTTGACTTAAACGAATGGGCCGAAGACCATTTTGACAAAAATGAATGGGTCGAAGGCCGTTTTGACATAAATGAATGGGCCGAAGGCCGTTTTGACATGAATGGAAGTCTAAATGGGCCAAAGGCCAGAATGTTTGGAACTACAGTCACTTGATTTGAATTTCGTATAGTTATATATATCTGTTAAATAGAAATATGAATTGGGCCCAAGGCCGTTTGGAACATGTTGTTCTACACTGTTATGTAACTTTTGTATTTGATTTGATATTATTCACTGGGCTTTCGCTCACGCTCATTCATGTGTTTGTAGGTGAGCCAAGAGAAGTCCAGACCCAACCTCAATGAAGTCTGTATGGAACAACTAAGGTTTTGAGAGAGTCAGCCCCTTGTGTCTCACGCACGAGACCCGTCTTCGCCCTTTTGTTATGTACTTAAATTTTGTCAGGTTGGCGAAGTTTTGAATACGTCTGTATGTAGTTTTGCTTGGCTGACTTAGATTTGAATGATCCTGTCTGTACAGTACTTATGTTACTACACTTTCTGTTGTGAGTTATTAACATATGTATGTCTGGAATGTTATGATGTGCATATAAGCACGGCTCTATGGACAAAGTTTTAAAATTGCGTCCGTTTGGTCCCTTTTACTCTGATGAGTTTTGTTTTATTTAGTTTGAGGCCGTAGGTAATCTCGTGATTACTGGCCGGTTATGGCCTTAACCCAGAGGGGCGGGTTCGGGTCATGACATCAACTCTCCCTGCTTGTTAGCAAATCAGAGTCCTTGTGCGTTATTGAGGTGGAGACGACAAAAAATCGGAATGCTGAATCTACTTTGATCGGGTAGGGCGGCCAAGAAGTTGAGGAAGAGGCAGAGAAACGCCCTGTCGAGTTTGAGGCCGGCTCAGAAGAA